TCTCTCTGTCTCTCTCTCTCTCTCTCGCTCGATCTCTCTCAATCCCTCTCTTTCACCTCCTGCCTGTCTCCACCAGTCGCAGTAAATTTAATTCACACTGTTATTTTTTTTTTTTGACATCGAAGGAGTGCCTTGTATGTATCAACAATTTGAAACAGCACGTGCAAATCCTATTAGATTATCGATGAATCAAGACCTGATCATAGCGAACTTCAACCCATTCTGAGCGCATGATTCACACCTGCTGCCTCCAACACTGGCCTCGCGCAACACGAATCAGCTGTGTGGGTAAACAAATTCAGGTCATGTGACCAGCTAACCTATTTTTCCGGTGTCCACCGACCAATGGTAGCGGCCGCTTTGGTCACATGACTCTCTGAGATGAAAGGATGTGACATCATTCGTGTACACAAAAATAACCCAAACTTCACCCGTGTAGCAGAAGAAAGAGCTTGTGAAATTTGACATTTGAGTGTGTGTGTTCATAACGGTGAGAAGATGATGTTGCGGCTCATTACGTTTACACGCAGCGGGAACCTTCCTCAAGTAGGATAACCGTCGTTTGATCTCTGTAGAACCATACAAGGACATATCCGAGCTTGTTTATTTTGCTTCTCGCCAGTGCACTTGGCAAATCTTTAGTCGTCTACCACTCGCAACTGCTGTCTGCTGGCAGCAGTGAAGACGTGGAGAATACGAAAGCAGTATTATATGACCTGGTGAGAATCTGCTGTATTATGTTTGTTAGTTCTGATGAAATACGACTGTGTTTTTGTATCGGGAGAGTGATTGATCGTTCAACAAATGTTTTGAATATCTTTGACCTTGCTTTCGCAGACAGAATATGAAAAATTAAAATTGGTTTGCTGAAGTTGAAGGCGAAGTTTTAGTTTCAGTCTTCGAAGCAAATCAAGGGGCAAAAGACTCCAAGCTGAAGTCGAGGTTCAATCCCCGCAGGTATTTTAGGGGAATCCCCCTGCTTATAAGTAAGGGCTGGTAGGCCGCTGGTCAAGCTTCTCTATGCGTCTAGATATCTACCTATTACTACATTAGCCCACACTTATGTCATCCTCACGTCCTGGGCTAGAAAATAATAATACAGTGAAACCTGTATAAGACGGCCACCCATTGTCAAGGAGAAAAGTGGCCATATAAGACAGGTGGCCGTCTTAGGCAGGACTGATCAAGATGAAGAAAACAAACCATTTCCATCTGAGGTCCCAATCGAAAGTAGCCGCATTGTTGTTGTTTTTGTTGTTGTTGTTATTGGTTTGTATTTTGTTTGTAATTTTTATTTTTTTGCTGATTTTGCACAAGAGTGACAATAAAACGAAATGTATCAGACAAGGAAG